GAGGAATCGAACTAGGAACCCTCTTTCCTGGTGTTCGGAGGGCCGTTAACACATTCACTCCGACGGCCGCCCTTATGGGCTGCCAACAACATGCGCCCCTGGGACGATGGTAGCCTATATGGGCTGCCAACTGATAATCGCTTGTCAGGCTCTAGGACTGGACAGATATGTGGGCAAACCTCGTAATCGAGTGCAAACTGCATTCAAATTCCATCACGGAAAAAGTGAATAAATGCTCTCTTTTCGTAACTACTATTTGTCGTTCTGACCAAAATCCTACTGTTATATGTTTAGATAATCTTCACGCATTAGACATTGCAGAAATTATTTTGTAACATTCATGTTTTGCTCTTATACAGTACAAAATCTGAGGTGATGTGGTGAGGCCGCGGCGCCTACAAAATCGCGTCCGTCCCACGCGACCGAAGAGTGGAAAAGGGGCGTCGTCGTGAATGTGTGAAGGAAAAATGAACTATGGTTTTGTAGCTCCTACATGTGCCCCAAGAAACCAGTTTCAAAAGCTTGGCCCACCCTGAACGACCTCCCTTGTCAGTGGCTCCTCTGTTACTCCCTTCGCTATGATATCTAATGTAAGGAGAAGGAGAAACAGGCCTGCAGTAGATCCCTAGCGTGATATCCACCTTTTTGTTGATCCATGCGAGGCACGTATAGCTACTGCACCTGCGTACATGTCCTTCACCAAAGACAGCAAGTGTTCTCTCACATTTCGTTCTCTGAGCGCTCTCTATAGGAGAGCGAGAAAAGCTAGTTAGCACGGTCGCCTCGATCTTTCTCCATCACTTGCCTGATGATGATTGCATATGTTGTAGATTTACAAAAAATTTGGAAAACTAAACATTGCTGCGAGATCGACCAGTTACTCAAGCTTCAAACCGGCCAGCCGCCATACAGGATCACGATCGCACTCAGCTTGATCCCGATGTAGTTATAGCATTCCGTCACGTCTCCGTTCCGTTTGAAAGTGGGGACGGCAGTACTTATTTCTCGAGGACACGGCATCCTTCCTTCCCCAATTGCCGTGTTCAGGAAGCGGGTGACTACCTTATCCCGTGCTCTGCAATCGCCTTCCATATCTTTATCTGGTACCCCATATGGACCAACCTCCATCTTCCCTGTTGCTTGACGAGCCTCTTCCTCTGTCCAGAGTGCGGTAGAAGCAGATGGCTCCTCTAGTTGTGGGTGCTCTTGTGGAGGAACTCTGCGTTCAATTCTCAGGGCGGTTCTCTTCCCATCTACTCTTGGCCTAGACTGGCTTCCTGAGAATGTTGCTATCGCTGCTCTTCAGCTATTATATTTAACATTCTGATATCTAGAGTAGCTCGATGCGAGCCCTTAGCGAGCCTGAAACGATCTTTTCCACATTTGGGTTCTACATCTATCTCTGTGTTCTTCGCCATGACGACGGTAGCCATGTAGACAGCGACATCCTCCAGTCCATGCGTCTCCGGAACCAAGCTGCCTAGTCTCCCCTGATTGCATCTCCCCTTTCGCCAGGTATCACCTTGGCGCATTGTAAGACGAGCTCAATGGCGTTGCGCAAGGCTGCTGAATCGGTCCGCGTGGTTCTAAAAAAAGCTACCATTATCTTTCGTTCGAGGTTCTCGGTGCAACTTCCATCAGTGTATTCTCCGCTCAGTTCTTATCACTGCCGACGTGGCCACTCAGATTGCCCGCCATGGTTGGGTAGTCTCCCTCTGGGGAAGATCTGACGCACTCGTTGGAGCTAAGCTTCCCTCTCTTTTCCAGGGCAACTGGCTTGTAATGCCTATGCGGACAGTGCTGTCCAAGTCGTTTCCTTCGTTTTCATCCCCATAATTCGATGGTTAATTCTGTTTAGACAGAGACGCACTCCTTGAAACCTGGACAAGGACGTTCCCACGGATAGAATTATCGAAATGTTTGATTAGCAATCCATGGCGCTCCATCAGAAGGATGGCGTGGCCGTTTACTGTTTCGAGGCCATTGATGGGGCGCATCGTTGAGATGAAGCAGCACTGCCAATCCTATCACATTCCCGAGGGCCACTTCATTCCGTTTAGGAATAAGCAGCTATGGAAAGTTACTAGCGCGCTTCACTAGCCATACGCGACTCCCAATCGTTTTTTTTTCTGACGAGAAAATATTGGCTGTGGAGCCGGTGATGAAGCGCCAAAGCGACCACGTTCTGGCTACAACTATCAGTAGTGACATCTCACGAGGAAAGATTGATGGAAGAACGGCTTAGCCGGCAGCAGTAATGGTTTGAGGTGAGTCACGGACAATGGTGAGACGCCATTGGTTTTCGCCGATTCATGTGTGGAGATCAGCAAGGACGTGCCTATTGGAGAGCGTACTGAAGCCTTGATCCAACTCCCACTTTGGGAGCAAGTCGTGATCTTTCCAGCAGGACAGTGCTCATGGGGCCCCAAGACATGTGCGAACTGCGAGCTGCCCGACTTCGTTGCCGCGAGAATGGAATTCTTGTTCACCTAGTCTTGATCACTTGGACTCCCAGCCTGCGTGATTAAGTGCAAGGCATGCAGAGCTTGTCATACGAATCTGCAATCATTGCAAGCCTGGGAAAAGTTGGATAAGGGATACCTGCGTACTAAGGTTGAAGGACGAAAGAAGAGACTCCAGACCTATATGTTTATAATTTTTGCTTCAAAAATAACCTAAGGAGGGTGGGTCATGTTTCTACTGGGTAGAGAGTAGCATCGTCAGAGATGCATTTCGCAGGTTTCCAAAAACTGTGCCACTTTACCACCCACATCACTATCATGGATGTTTCTACAGTATTAGATTCTGAGACCACTTGACACGCTTAACCGGTTCCCTGGAAATGCGTGGCGGGGAATATGTCAGATGAAACGGGAAACTTCAAAAAATGACCTGGCAAATCTCTACTAGAACAACGTTAACACATTGCAGCCCGCGCGCATTGCCGGGTATGCACGCAGAAACTCCCACATCTTACAAATGTGCATCGCCGGGTATGCACATCTTTATTTTGCTCCCCCATGAACCTTTTCCAGTACTTCTTTGACTAATTGACTTCCGTTAGTCTCATTAATCCGTAGAACGTGTGGTATGTCGACAACTTCAATTCCAACGCAAACAATCAGATTCTAATACGCCCACCTACTGAAAAAGTATCATCTTACGAAATTTGCATGCAGTTCGTGCTTCAGACTTCGAGTTTCTTTGGCAATCAAATCAAACCATTATCGGAAAATTTTCCTAATCAACACGTTTACTAACTCGCAGAAATAGGTACGAAACCAAGCTAAACACTTTTTGGACCTATGAACCGTCGTAACAAGAACTAAAACAAAAACAACTAGTACAAAACTTGGAAAATTTATAAATGGTATAGGAGAACGAAAGCTTCCGTGTCCTTCCAGCGAATGCTATGTGGGTCCCGTAAGGGAAATGCACGAAATGTCCCACACATGAGACTAAAGCATCGCCGAGTATGCGCGCGCGCAATGCCGCCAATGACACATGTGTGACAAACGCCGAAATCGGCGCGCGCGTCAACGTGTTAACGAACTTGATTTTGCTGCTCTATCCTTCATTCACCCCTCAAATTTTAATTGCGACCCTCGTTTGAACAGTGCACACGCACTGCAGCACATGTATCAATACTTTCAGTAACTCATTCGAAAATGAATAAATCTTAGCAAGTTCTTCCTGCAGCAAAATACCAAAACTCCATCAACATAATCGAAAGCAGAGGAGGCTCGAACGCAAACTGCCGCATTTTTGCGACACTCACTGGACCAGTGGGCGGGACCGGAAGTTTTTGTGACGAAATGCATGTTAAGTACGGATCCACGTGTCGAACGCACGAAGGTGGACAGGATTCACTTCAAAGCTTCCGCATGACCAGTGGATCCGTACTTAACATGCATTTCGTCACAAAAACTTCCGGTCCCGCCCACTGGTCCATGGTCCGCGGAAGATTCCTTTAAAACATTCGTGCGAGATCACGTCACGAATGAGTCTGTTTTCAGTGGTCATCTTTCGCGCTCGGTATCGTCAGCTCAACTGGTAGCGTAAAAAGCAATGTAAAGATATATCGAGAAAGATTTTCTAAGGAGGCTGTAATTACTCGGGGGCAAAATCACCGAATCCAATTTTCCACAGGATTGCGTTCCAGCTTATGAAGCTAAAACTATGACTTTTTTCGAGACCAGAATGGGCTCTCTCCAAACGTAGTATCCGTGGTCTGCGAAACAACCGGATCTGAATTCAAGCTGAAAATTGAAACATACTAATCTTGATGAGTGCGAGAGGACATGACCGGAATCTGTGATAAAATAGGCAATAACTACCACTGGCGCAATGTCAGTTTGATGAAGAAAATATTAAGACCTGTATTCAAAGCTGACAGAGGCCACTTTATTATGCCTCTGCAATTATGAAATGTTTCGGTTCACTGCTCTATAAGAACTGCTTTTCAAATGTTTGTAAGCTAGGAATAAAGCATGAGCATTTCTTATGACGCACATATTTCTCGCCACTCCGCATGCCTGTTAACACTAGACAAATCCTCAAGTAAATCGAATTCTCGTAGACCTATTCGTCTTTGCTATAATCATTTCATTTGAAGAGATTCATAAAACAGGTAGGAGTCAGAGTGGTAGCTACGATATTGACGCCACGGTTCCAATAAAATAATCATGGCGATTTATTGTGATAGAAAACAAATACAAAACAGAAGAAGCATAAACAACTTCGTTTATATCACCGTCATCTAGCCGAAATAAAAACCATTTACCAAAAATACCGAAGTGAGCGAGACAAATGGCTTACCGAATAAATAATACATTATTAAGTGAAAATCATGAACAATTGTGTTATTTATACAACCCGTAGCTAGTAAAACTATGTCTAACTATACAACGGAATATCAGAAAAACTGTCAAAACCACTGCGTCTGGACTAAGAACGGCACTTAGACATCGGTAACATGGAAGCATGGTTGAATCACACATTCACCTCAGCTCCTTCTAAAGTTACAATTGTCTATAAACCAACACCAAACCCAAAGACAGAAAATTAGCGCATCAGTGGATAACTAAAGAATTTTTTGATTAAAACAGTTTGAAATGAAATGCTTACACTAAAAAAAAACGCGACAAAGTAACCATCAGGCAGTCATCAACAAAATGATTGACACTGCCACCTTATCTCGCCTTCTCGTGAGTCCGTTATACACAATGTAATCTCAAACATTCAATTACACTTGACCTTACCATTATTGATCCTTTTAAAAGACGCGCTGATCCTGTGTTCTAATCAATACACTTTTTATTCAGTTGTTTTTATTTATTCTATTTGTTCAAGTACCTCCCGTTCATTTCCGTGTCTGAGGATGCGTCTCAAAAAAGAATCGATGGAAGTTATAGTTTTGGGACTAAGATTTTCTCTCATAACATCCTCTTTATTCCCTTAACCTGCTCTGTCTACCTACTGGGAACGGCGGGTTGTTAGGGTACTGTTAGGGTAAGATCAAGTTCTCATCCCCAGGCAGCAGGCAGAGCTGATACTCGTCAGGCTCAAGACCAGAAGAATAAGACGTTATACGTTGAGATTTTAATAAGATCATGACGTTGCGGACGTAATGCTGTAGAGGACGTCGATTCCGAGAACATGTTAAAAATCTATTTTCGAAAGCATCTTCGAGACAGGGTCAAACCTACCGTTGGTCTTTTTGGAAATTTTAGCGACGCCCCCCCTCATAGAGGTTCTGGCACGACTCCCTCTCCGGGCCGCCGCGTGTTCCCCCCAACTCACTTGGCACCGAGTTGCCAAGCTTTTGAAAGGAATGAATTATTGAAACGCAACGCGATACTGATCGCGTTTCGAATGAGCTTCCTGACTATGGAGCGCGTTTGCTGACCGTGAACAAGCGACAAATGGGGATACTGAAATTGAAACGACCATGGTGTACGTCACGCCTAGGCCGCACTTCTAATTCACTGGTTCATTTGAAAGCCCATTGGAATTAAGCGTGACCTGATAGATGCTCTAGTATCAGTTATTTTGAGTGAACATAACGTGGTGGCTAGTACCCATGTTGGTTCAGGCAATGCTCCAGTTTCACCTCATTGTCAGCTCCACCTGTGGTTTCGTAGCTAGATCCATGCAATGGTGCGAGCACTTTATTCGAACGAAGCTACATGTGCTGCTGCTGTTTTTGCAAGTATTGATCTTCATGGCTGAGTTTAGTTACTAATTAATTCCCGTGGTAATTTGCTCCCACTCACAATCAGCGGACCCTGCGACCGCGCGGGACTAACGCTAGGGAGAAGGTAATTTGCTCCCACTGCCAATCACCGCGTACGACCCCCCTCCCCCACAAGCTGATCCAAATACACCATTGTTGGTATTTGCGCCAACATAGGGTTGACCCCGGGTACGAGATGACTTGAAGGAGGAATTCACGATTAGAATGAAGGTCGAAGAAATGGAAACTGACCTAGTTGAGGAACCCACGCACCTCCTGGGGGTGCGAACTGACGCGCAATTCGCATGAAAAAATTTGACCTCGGCGCTGAGAGAGCGTAGTGCTGAAGAGGGCATAGCGATGAGAGTCGCATCAATGCTCGAATCAACGGGCAAGGAAGGGGTACCATTTCTCGGGTTCTGGGCCGTTTCTTATGGTTCTTCCTTCTTTCTTGTACCACTCACCATCCCTAGGTTAGTTTGAAATGGGTTGCTTTTTCATAGTTAATTCGTCCTTCAATAGCTTTCTTCTTCTATCGATTACCCCTCCGAATTTTCCGGCTAACGTTAATGTTGGCAGAAAAAAAAACAATTCTGATAAGAACAGTCATAAACGTCCAAGAACTTATGACCAGCGTAATATGTGGTTCCGAAATTGATTACTTTTCATTATGCAAACCACCACTATATGATGATTAAAAAAAATCTAAGTTGAGGTAGGAATGGTCACATGAAGTACTGCCCAAGGTCGTAGCCGCCAGTACACACATTATAAGACCAAATACCGCGTCATTTTAGCATCAAGATTTTGGTAGTATAACGATATTGATACCACTCCATTTTCCACGGGAAGCAAACGTACTGTCGCACGCGGCTGCCCGATAGCGAATGAACATTCGCTAACCAACTGTGAGCAACTCGAATTGAACTGATTGGAGAATTCTTTCTTCTAATGGGTGATAATCCGGTTTGGTTTGGTTTGAGAGCGCTCCTTTGGACTATCAACACTACGGATAAGATAATAAGTAAACGACTTATTTTGAGGGTACTTTCGAGTGGATGTCCTATATTCCTCACATCCTGAACTTATCCTATGCACTTTTCTGCAGAGATCATCCACCCTGGAGCTTCTCCACCCTAAGGCCTAAGCATAGGTATCCATTCTCCTTGTTCGGGAGCGTTTCCTTGGACCATAATAGCAGAAATATGAAGAGAAATATTCGAGAAATATGAAGAGATAAGCTCGGGTGCGTAGCGTTAGTCCTCTTGGGGTCAGGCTGCCGCCGCACGCGGCGATCGGGCTCGTCGCGTGTGCGGCGATTCCGCGATGTGGAGGTTTTTACTAGTCCGCTGTTGTCCACCGTTGCAGCCTTCACATTTGATTGTCAAGTGACGAGGTGGCTTGTCCCAAGCCCAGTAAGGCTCTTCCACATTCATGTCTCCCATGGACATGAGCGCCAGAAATTAAGTTTGGAAATTAAGAAACGCTGCGGAGAACATTGGAACTTTCTGAAACAGTCTGAGTGAACGAACCATAGTAAACTGCGTATTAACGTCATGTAGAATGGGCGTCATGTGAAAACATATCGCCATACTGCATGATCTACTCTCTTTCACGCCATTGGGGAGAAGGGGGTCAGTCAAATTAAACAGGTCACTCAAACAGCGCCTAAGTTGCTCATTCGGCAGTAACGAATCGATAAAATTAACGAACTTTCACTCCAACAGCCAAAAGAGTGGAAGAGGGCTAAAACCATATTGTTTCCACAGCTAATAAATCACACCGCCACATCCAACCACCACAGCCTTCGCCGCGTGCGACGGCGCGGCGGCGGCCCCAGGAGGACAAACGCCCGTCTCCCATATAGCTCTCTAACCATAAGTTAGTAATATGAAACATCTTACCAGTTAAAACCTACTACCCAAGTTATTTTCTAATATTTATAAATGTATTGTGCTTATGTAGGCGCTCTCATCGCTGCAAGTCGTGTTATGTAATATTTCTTCTGATTAGAGTGAACACTACTCTCGAATGGGAAATCAGATCGTTAAATAATGAAGAACTTTACATTGAGTATTTTCGATATTAACAAGGTAGTGCAAATTTTGCACTATGAGGCTTAAATAGCTTCAGAGACCTCAGGGTTACGCTGGTTACTCTACCACTTGCTCAATTCCTTACGCACATCAGGTATTCAACCCAAATCGCAATCCATGGATAGATCATATCAAAGGAGTATTCCACGATAAGGTCTAAGGTTGAAGAGTGGAAACTGACCTAGTGGAAAGAAAGTCGGGTCCCTTATGGATGCCGACCGCGCGATTCGCAGCGAAGAATATGCCCTAGGCTATCTAGCATGGGCTTCCGCGCCGTTATCGCCACTGACTGCCTTCCCTCGCCACTGGCTCTAGCCGCCATGCAGAGAGAACGCTAGCGTTGATGAGGTCAGCACCGATGAAAAGCGCATCCGAAATCAATGGGCAAAGAGAGGGTCCTTTTTCTTGAGCTCAGTACCATTTTCATAATTTTTACATACCTGCATCACTGACGACCTCTACCTTGACTACTGGGGAGCGAAACGTCGCGTACGGCGCTCCATGAATTCAATCGCGACTCATTATGTCGCTATTGAAGCAACCGTCCCCCATGTTCAATAATTCCTTCTTTTGAGGGTAAGCTGTTGCAGAAGCACGCACACTCGCAACTGTTTGTGCTGCAACACCTAGGCTCTTGCTGATCCCATGGTCCTTACATAAGTATGTGTTTTTGCAATATCTAACGTCGAGTTATTTTCCAGAGAAAACAAAATTACAGAAACAACCGTGTTATTTGTCAAGCATTTGCTCTAGCGCATACCATTCCAACTTCCTCGGTATTCGTGATGCTCTCATCCACACTTTCCTCCCATCCTTCAGTTTCCTCCGCCGTCTCCACCATAGCGAATTTTGGTGGGACTTTTTTGACTGCAGAAAGCTAGAAAGAATCACTCTAAGTGATGGAGTAGCCCAATGTGAGCACACATACCGCATCAATAGTGTTTTGAAGGGAGCTGAGTTGTTCAATTAGAGAAGTAGTGGTAATCTTTGGCGCAAGATCAGCCAACAAATCGTCCTCCAAACTTCGCTGCGTCGACACACTGATCTCAAACTCGCTGCCTAAAAGGTAGCAAAAGCGGTAAAAGGCTGATTTCGAGACCATTCATGATGAAAGTCTTTCATACTCACCAATGTTCTTTTTGTGATCAGTTGTCGAGCCCATTCTCAAAATTGGAGCATGCGATTTCACATGATCATTGGTCCGTTTTTCAACTTCTGGCTCGGAACTAGAGATCTGCTTGTCTTCTGACTGCCATTCGGAAGACCACGCAGAATCATTGTTCCAATCTGCGATTTCCTGCAAAGCACATTTCGCTGTATACACTACCCATGAAAAGAGTTTATATTCCCTTCACTTCACAGCCGTAAGGTGTTGAAGAAAGCAATCACGCTGGTTCCGAAGTGGAGCAGCTTACTAAGCGTTCAACCAATAAGACATGAGATAAAAAAAAGGTTGGACGAGCGTAACTCTACGGAGGATACGATAAGATAAGAAGAGATGTCTGCTCGGAATGAGGTGCTTTTCAGGATGAAAATCGGACAATAACGAACGGTATCTTATGAAGTACGCTCCCACCGCAATCCCTTTCACGTTCGACACGTGAGGCTGCTTACCGAAAATGGGATTTCGGCGCCATATCCCACCGTCGATGAGGCGCCACTAGTCATGAAGCGTCACCTACGTCTCACTGGGTAGGACAATCCACTACAAAACCTCCCTTGTCGTAACCCTAAGGATTTTCGTGACCGCTTTCTTTAAGTATGGCCAAGACCAACTAAAGTTTCATCCTACAGAGATCGGTTGATAGGAATCCAACTTGCCTGAGAGTAACAAAAACAAAAAATAAAAACAGTAACATGTACATAGACAAAAAACCACAATTTGAACCAATTTGACCACCAATACCGATAAAAGAATACCTTGCCGAGGATCTTGGATCTATTTAGAACTACGAACGTGAACATCGATTCGAAAGGCTATGAAGGGAGTGAAAGTCAAACTGCGACTTCGGCGCTTACGAAGAACGTTGGAAAAGAGCGCTAAGGCCACAGAAAACTGAATTGACAGACAGCGATTTCCTGCGAGAAAGTCTGGTGGGGCGATTCAGTCTGGTGGAGCAGTAGGAGAGTATCCCAACGACCCTATCCCCGCCAAAAATATGACCAGCGACCGAAAAATTGCTAAAACAACGACCGGAGATTGTATAATAGGCTCGTCTAGGCATATCGGAGCGATTTAAAAAAAATACTACGGCAAGCTCAGGAGGCAATGGACTAAGCGTAAGAGCCACCTATGAAAACGTGGCCTTCGATTTGTCTCACAACCTGGGAGTCTACAACATACTCTTTGTCGAAGGAGACGCACAGCAGATCATGAAGCAGTGAAGAGGGACGGTCAAACAGAATGAGAGCTCAGATTGTTCGAAGCTTCAACCAAACTGCCGAACTGAGGCAGGACAACCAGTAGATAATGGTGAAAGAATAAGACGCTGGCGCCATGGCAGCCAACACTCTTTCGACACTTCGAAACTAAACGAAAAGGGGAGCAATAGAGCTTTGAGGAATGAGTGGAGAAAGAGCGCCATCAGAGGAGTTTCAATGGCCTAACGCCACAGAAAAGACAAGTCATGGACAGTGGGCAATGAAAAGAGAAAATAGAAAACTCCATTGGCGACAAAGCAACGACCGGAAAATGTGGTGGAAGACAACCAGAACAGAAATACTCACATGCAAATATACTCTTGGCCACTCTTGGTAAAGCTTGAAGTACTGCCGATCAGACGACAACCAGAACACGCACACAGAACACACCCATTGACACCACGAACCACCCATTTTTTCATGCGTCAACGATTCCAGAAAAACGAAGACTTTCCTAGCCAACCATACACACCTCGTCACTCCAAGTTCTGTTGGTGTCGCCACTAGCAGTACCAGTAACCCTTTTCTGAATCTTATCAGTGCCGTTCGCTTCGATGCTGTTTTGATAAATGAAATCAGCAGAAGTGACATTCACAGCAGCACGAGATCTCTGAAAAAAAGTGCATAAGAAGAACCACATCTAATGTAAGCAATTACAACAAATAAGGTTTACTGCTGGGGTATTTTAAACAGTAATTTCGTGACAGCCAAAACTTAAAATTAACCTGTGGCGATCCATTTGCGAATATTTTCGAAATAGGCCACGGACAAACCGCCTCTGCTCCAGCAATTTCAACCAATTCAGCCAGCGCCCGAAGGGAGGCAGCTACCAGCTGGTTGTCGCTGTCGTGACATCCTTGAATCACCTTCAAATACGGATTTGAAAAATGATGAATGTCTGAATGCAGGTCCTAGGCCATGTATCACTTGCACACTTTGACTGTGAAAAGCAAGTCTTCAGGGCATCCCGGGTCGCAATACCCTAGTTTCTAGACTCGCTAGGCGGGCATCCGTCAGGAGGCCCGTCACGCGGCAAGAAGGCAGAGTCAGCGGACAAGTCGCGACATGTACTGTAGTGCTTGAAGGCCAAGTTAAATAGAATGTACCTTGCACGTCCTACATCGCATAGCACGCGCTGCAACTCGTCCGCTGACTCCGCCTTCTTGCCAAGTGACGAGCCTCCTGTTGGGTACCCCTTGCTAGGCATCATGAATCAACTAAGACATTCTTTCAGACGTTGGCAACAGCACACGCACATGCGCCCCACTATTTGCAGGCGCATGGGACATTCTGAAGTGAAGGAAAAACGATTAGGGCAAGTGCTATGTAATTCCATAGCATGAAATGCACTGCTGACCATTTTCCTTTTACGGGCTCAAAGCAAAATCTTCAAATCGAATTTGCAAGGTCACAGCGGTTGGCTATGAAGTTGTGGATGCCGAATCGATTTTGAAAAAGAGCTTATAAAACCATTGATGGAGCCCAATACAAAAACACTGTTGAATTAAGGAGGGGCGGGCAAGATGAGTTATAAGAATTTGCCTGCTTCATGGTTTACTAACCTGTTGTGATCGCAGGACCTCTCTGTCAACCTATGCTAGCCGCCGATCAAATTACAGATGCCGGTAGACCGTTAACACTGGGTCTCGACACGCACTGCCTAGCTAGCTAACTATTCGACATTACGACAGAGCTCCGTAGGCCTGAACGGGATTTCTTTTCTACGCTTATTCCCTGTGGAACGTGGTCGATGCCATTATCGCACTACTTCCCACCATGTCTTTCGGTCGCTTCACAACTCCCTTATTTATCTCGGATGGTATATTTCGCAGGAGCTTATGCTATCATATCCGACGTCTTGGAGATCCAACCACCGGAGTTTGCGCAAGCTCACGATAGCGGCCCAGATCCGCTTCTTATTTCACAGTCTCACGGCATGCCCACTGGAGTACGGTCCAGGAGATGCTCTCTCCAGTCCACGAGTCAGCCAAGGGTCCGTCACTTAAGTCAAAGCTTTTTATCACATAAATGCTCTTGTTTAATCAGTGGATCTGTTGTGTAGTAAGAATTAGACAGTGGGTTCTTTTCGCATATTTTATTATCATTTGAGAAGCTCAAGGGGAGATTAGGTGATTGATGGCAACATCATTACGTTGCTTCCATTGCTACCTTAAAGGTACAATCGCAAAGTTATGATCCTAAGTCATAAACAGAAGTTTACGACAGTTCAGATGAGGGACTATAACAATAATCAGCAAACCTACAGCGCATTGTCCTGGACCAGGGAACGCTCGTGTCACGGAAAACAGGAGGTTAGCTTGGGCCAATTAGGAGCGCTGTATTCCGCATGGCAGGTAGAGAGGACACAGCCCCACGCGCATTCCCTCACGTTACGTGTCATGGGGGGGGGGGGTCATATGGCGCGGTCAGCTTGCCACTGGGGCGCCTGGGCTATAACTGCCACCCAGGCACCGCCTATATTTTCGCCAGATAACTCGTCTGGATCACCGAAGTATCTAATTACCATGGTTGATCGGTCTACAATGGAACGCGCCAGAGTAGAATGGAATGCAGATGACTCCGAAGTTTCGCCATGCTTGACTCTTCATCCAGCTTCCTCAATGCGCTGATTTCGCTCTTTAGATTACAAATTGGAATGAGTGTGAAGTTTCTTGGAAAAGATTGTATCACGACCATTTTGGAGTTGTGATATGCACTTCACAGCAACTTGCAGTATGTGATAAAATTCCTATGCGAGGTAAGTATTGCTTCGTCTATGGTTCAGAGAACAGTGTGTTGAAAATTAGTTGCCTTCGACTAGACTAACCAGGAAGGTCTTTCAGGGCGTGACAAGCTTTTGGAAAACGGTCTTTTGCATGATATAGGGGCTGATGCGGAACCACAGAGCCATGTTCAATTTTTCCTGAACGGCCCTCTGAATACCAGAAAAGGGGGTCCCTAGTTCGATTCCTCTTGATGACAAATTTTTGCATTCCGAGTTGACGTGCCAAAATTTGCTCAAAAGGGGAAGTTTAGAACACGAACAATCAGAACTCCCATTGCGACATTTTGGCACGTCAACTCGGAATGCAAAAATTTGTCATCAAGAGGAATCGAACTAAGGACCCCCTTTTCTTGTATTCAGAGGGCCGTTCAGGAAAAATTAAACATGGTTCTGTTGTCCCCGCATCTGCCCCTATATCATGCAAAAGACCGTTTTCAAAAAGCTCGTCACGCCCTAAAAGACCTTCTTGGTAAGCCGTTTTTAGAAAGCACACACGATTTCATGGGATTTGCGCAACGTAACTCGTCCAAATGCTAACACATATTAGCCGCCAAACGCTGAATTTTAAAACATAGCGAAGAAACCCTTTAAAACTTTATTTTTGAGCCAACTTCATTCCAAGCACAATCACCTCTGTAATCATATGTACTATCGCTATGATGTCAACGAGCAGAAAAGAGTGAGTGCCTCATGGCCAGCAGTTTGGTGTTCCAAACGGAAAAAGACAGACGATTTCCAAGCGCCCATAGGAATTCAATTCTTTTGTCCTCAAAGTGACTATTGAGCAAGAAGAGTGGATTGTAGTCTAATGGAGACTAGTCAATGCTGTACATGGATATTGCAGCACTTCTCAATTATCATCAAGGACCCTGAGTTGCGTCATCTTCGAAACGTGGGGTCTCGGTTAATGCTGAGAGGACATAGCTTTTCGAGTTCTAACGACAGTTGTTGGAGTTCTTCATAAGACTCAGCCGTTGACCACCGTAGACCTACCCAGATACGTGGCTTAGCCGAGGGGAAGTCTCCTCAGTTAACTCGCGATCATCCCCACAGACGGGTAACATAACCATTCCAGGGGTACCTGATGGAGGCCCATCGCGCGGCGAGAAGGCAGAAACATAGATACAACGAATCAGCGGATGAGTCGTAGCACGTACATATTGTGCGGTGTGGGACTTACCATAGAGCACTCCATTCAACTTGACGCTAAATCGCTACATGACGCGCTGGGACTCGCCCGCTGACCCATGCCTTTTGGCCGCGCGACGGGCCTCCTGTCGGGTATCCCCTTTTCCAGAATTTGTTGATTTTCTGCCTCTTCCGGTCGATACATCCACTTGCCCTTCCACGCGTGGTTGTGGAGTCGCGCCTTCTTATCCCCAGGAAAGAAATTTTCGCCGGCTCGTACGGGGAGTCTGAGAAAGAAGATATGGACTGCACTCTTTTCGCACTCCTGTCATCAGTGACCAGTTCGTGAGTGAACATTGGCAAAGCTTCAGCCGTTTTACGTTGAGGTAAAAACCTGGAGTTTGTCACCGACCTTATAATTGGCTCCCAAGAGACTCCAAGACCGGAAAAGAAGTGGATAGTGTTCAGCAAGCTAAGGGAGGTCATTTGCTATAGTTGCCCGGAAAGGTTCTAGAACCCGGCAAAAGTGGATAGAGGTTGGAATGGGAAGGAAGACTAAGTATGGGTGGTAGAAGTGAAATGCACAGTGAGTGGAGTTTGCCGCGAAATATTGGGTTGGTGCATAATATCGTAGCGCTTGCATTTTTCATTTTTGCACGCAAACGTTTTGTGAAGAAATTAAAAACATAAAACTAATCAGGTATGTCCACTTTGCCATTATTTACGACTTTTATCCTATATTGCAGAAAGTCACTGGATTTGGAATCGAAAAAAGATGTTGGGCTCGCTCTCAAAGTATTCATTATTTCGCAATTTGTACGACATGAATACGGTCTTAATTTGAATGAAATATGTAGGATTGGTTAGAGAGAGGTTCGATAAGAACAATGGATACCGAAGAACTTTTGTTTTGACGGTATTTTTTTCTTTATGTGAACTGAAAAATAACAGCTGTCGAAATGCCGAATTCTGCCGTCTGGATTTTCCAACTTCTAAGCATTACGTATGAGTACAAATATAATTTCGAGGGAAATGAAAGTAATTTTTGTATAGCGAAAAAAGCACTTTCAAAAGGTATAGGCAATTTTTAGGGTTTCTCTTGTACTGATTGAATTTACACGCCCAAAAAAAAACGCTACGATATTATGCACCAACCCAATATTATAATTCGGTTCCGGGAAGTACGAGAAACCAACAAAGAAGTGGATAGAGGTATGATTAGGAAGGAAGCCTAAATGTGGATGGTGGCCGTGGCGCGCTAAAGAGCGGGATTCACCACCGAATTTCATGATTCGATTCCGAGAGGTCCCAGAAACCGGCAAAAAAGTGGATGGAGATCAGAGAAGAGTAAATGTTGGTGGTTGGCGTAGCATACACCTAAGTGGGCGGAGTTTGATAAAAAGCATTATAAAAATATCAATGACCCTATTTTATACCACTGCACTCCCGTACGATGCAGCGAATGCGTATGCAGCCAAACTTTTGAGAAATAAGCTATAGCAGAATAAGTAACACTCGACGTCAGTACCTCATCGGCGACAAAACCAACGAGACGTTCGCGACCAATATGACGAGCGTAGCCATGAAAATGAGAAAGAAGTACAGTTCGTACGGCCGACTCCCTAAAAGCAGGGGATGAGAAGGCTCATTGAATAGGAGATTTATTTCACTGTCACCAGCATGAATACATGCAACTGAAAGATACACCACCGAGCAGTTCGACCCACCTCACTTTGAACAAACGCAATATTTCAGGTACCATGTGACGCTGGAAAAGATCACGGGGAAGAATTCCATTTCCATCTTCTGAACAAAACAAATGCAAATGGTACACAGTCCGTGATCAACATACTTAAATATCCAATAATGCATGAAGATATATTCAATCACGCATGAAAAGTGGAAACAACCTGTTGAAATCAACAATGCAGGGTAAAGTTCCGTTTGAGATCGTGCTTCAAGAAGGACATAGCGGGATAAAAGAAGTCGGGAAAGTCTTCGTGCAACAACATCAGCCGGAATGGAGCGTAAGTGAGGAACAATATCTCTTAAAGCTTTGACTATAGATGAAGCAAATTAACAAACTATTAGCTTCAGCAGCCAAACTTATTGGGATATATTAGTTTGAAAAATAAGCGATACGAAAAAATTTAAGAATCCGATTTTTCACAATTTAAGAGTAGATATTGCAGTTACGAGATTGAAACATGTACCCCGTAACATGAAGTATCATTATGCAACATACCTGAAGAAGATATTTTTCTCTTCATCGTTCTTTAGGTGAATAGTGCTACAAAATTCGATTATTTGGATGAGAGAATTTGTTAAAGCTGGATGCCCAAGGAGTGAAGACAGTTGGATTCGCTGAGCAGGATCACCAGTAGTCAATTGAGCCGCAATTTCGCGAAGGCATTGAACACTCTCTTCTGAAAAAAGTTCCTTTTCAGAGGAAAAAACACACGTTGGATCTGCCTGGTATTGCAACTTGGAGTGCTAGTTCCTTGTTTGAAAGCAAGCCCACGCTCAAAAAGTAAGTTACTAGTACTCTTCTATTTAACTCAATCCTTATTCATGTTAATCCTTGACAGTCTTTATAGTCCTTTTTCATACGTCGCGCACCGTTGGCAGGCGGTCGTGTTTTTCGCTATTGTAATTATCACCTTTTTTTCACTATTTTTTGTATCGCTGTTCATAGTTTTTCTTCCTTTACGAGTCTTTTAGTTACACCTCTACATTCTGCGTCCTACTTGAGTCACCCTCGACTTGGTTATTCCTTTTTTGAAGCTTTGCTAATTGTGATTTCCATTGCGGGAATCGATCCGATCAATTTAAGAGCGCGTCGGGTTCAAAGTCCAAAAAAGTTTCTATCAAAGATCAAGTGAAGGGCATATAGTTAGCACTCCACGGATCTCTGTCACTGAGGGATCTCTCTCACTGAAAGATCTCTAGCCGGTTGGTGGCGAGGGTACGTGGCGCGACCCCAGGTGGCGGATAGGGGGTTAATCGCGGACCAAAAGCCACCATGTACTTGCCCTGAGACGCAGGTGGATTCAGGGGATGGACTTCCTGTTTCTGCAGCGCTGTGTTGATCCATACCAGCTGTCTCCACTCAGGCGCATCCATGCATGCTTGCGTGTGTGGTGCGCTCTGTGTGTGTGCGGTTGGTATCCTGCATGTCGGCACAGCCAAAAGCTTGCATTCAAGTGACTGGGAAGTACATGGGAGGCGATTCGGGGCCGCCTCCAAGAAATAAGGCCCTGTTTCCGGCATCCAGATAGCGTGGCTAAATACCTGAGGTCAATTCTAGCCCGCACGACAGAGCACTGGCAAGCTACTCATGTGCCTTCAATAATCGAAAACAGCAATTGGATGGCCTCATTCCCTTGAACCTGAGGAGCCCCAATACGCAGCGTGTGTAACCGCTCGAAGAGGCGACTAGAATCCTAGACCCGTAGCTGCCTAATCGAAGAAGGACTAAAGATGCGAATCCTGTATTTTTTTTTGTGGTTTTTTTTTTTTGCTTTCAACGCCCCAACGCTTGCATCCGACGACTCACATCGAGATCCGCTAACGCAGCCAAGGAAGATAATACGAGTCATCGGACTGACCGAGAACGAAAGAAAGGACACTCAGCCCGCTACACGACGTTTCGATAACTGGAAGAACTGTCCTTGACACATGCACAGGCAGAGGCTTGGCGGTGTGTTCCTAGTCAACACGCAGCTTGGCCATAAAAGATCGATTCGTACGAAAGCCTTACAACCGAAATCGGACGTTTGATTTGAGAAGATGTGGTTCAACTCCTGCTTTGACATCTTCGTCGCCTAAACACAACCTCCAGCTACACGAAGAAGAACACGAAGCATTCTATATATGAATTGGAGAAAGTCGTGAAGATCATACCTTCTTCAAGGTCATCGTCGGCGACTTCAACGCTAAGATTGGCCCAAGAAGAACGGCTGAAGAAATTGTCATCGGTACGTACAGAATGGAATGGAATGAGCAGGGTGAGAGACTGTCGGAGTTTATCATGTCAACCAACACCATCCATGGTAACTCACAGTTCCAGAAGCCCTCTCACTTTCGTTGGACTTGAGAGTCACCTGAAGGACAGTTCCATAACGAGATAGACCACATCATTTTCAATCGAGGGTTTTGCCTGACCGACGTCGCTGTTGTTCCGAAGTTCTACACGGGATCGGACCATCGTCTCCTCCGCGCAAGATTCCAATTCTCGATGCGTGTTGAGAGAGCAGCAAAGTTCAGGAAGCGAAGCCCCAGGACAACCACCAACTGGGACCACTCCGCTTCCCTCGTCAGCTCATGGGAGGATTCCGTTATCGAGAACATCGACGAGGAATATCGTCGGCTCGGTGGACACCTTCACGAGAGTGGTAGGAAGGCAGAGAGTTTGCAAGTCACCAAAGGACGTCTGTCTACGGAAACTCTCGAGCTGATTCGCCAACGTGGAGCCACACGAGCTGCAGGCAATCACCAACTCACGTCCGAGCTTGCGAAGCCATGCAGAGAGGCGATAAAGAAAGATCTCAAGGAGCGAAGAGCAGCAGTATTAGCTGAAGCAGCAGAGGCTGGGAGGAGCATCCGCAATGCCCGCCGAAGCTTTGCCCACTACAAGACCAAGATGACCTGCCTCCGACGTCCGGATGGAACAGTCACTGCATCCCGAAGGGCAATGGAGAGAGTCATCCACGACTTCTACTCGGATCTCTTCGATAGCCATGTCCACCTGCCCACTTATCAACTGCAACAGGATGGATATCGTCCCCTCAGTACTCTCTTCCGAAGTCCGACACGCCATCAAGTCGGTGAAGAATCGTACAGCACCCGGTCTCGACAGGGTTAAACCGGAACATCTGAAGAATGCGCCGCCAGTCATCATCAAAACTCTGGCTCGACTCTTCACGCGCTACCTGTCGGAATGCAAGGCACCCACTCCGTGGAAAACAAGCAGGACCGTGTTGCTGTACAAGAAGGGAGACCTGGACGACATTGGCAAATCGCCCAATCTGCCTGCTGTCTGTAATCTACAAGCTATTCACTCGAGTCATCCTTAACAGGATCGGCAGAATACTAGATGAAGGACAGCCATGCGAGCAAGCAGGGTTTCGAAGAGGGTTCAGCACGATCGACCATATCCACACGGTTACAAGACTCATTGAAGTTTCACGGGAGTCTGTCTCACGTTCATCGACTTGAAGAAGGC